ACCCTGTTGGTACCTTTTCTTGAACTCATCGACGATCTCGTTCCAGGCAAGCTCCTCCATCGGGTTGGCCCCATTGAACCATGAAGAGAGCGTTTTTTCCATAACGCCAATTCCGAAGTTCGCCGTCTTGTGTCTCAGTGCGAGCTCTAACTGATGGAGGAAGCCCTGGACTTTCTCATCCACGAAGCCGTTGGCAAGCGACTCCTGGTAGACTCCCTGGATCGCTTCTTTAACCTTCGGGGCGTCTTCCTCACTAACACCGTTCACACCAACAGAAAATACAGGAACGCGCCCAGATGCGTCAAGTCCCGTATTCGGCGTGAAGGAGGATCCCAGGCCGCTCTCGATCAACGCACGGTACATAGGTGAGCCATAACCGTCCAAGAGTAGCGAGGAGAGAATACCTGCAGAGAAAGTCTCAACCACATCCCGGGAATCTCCCATATACCAGGAGGTAGACGTCTTGAACTGTTTGTCTTCCCCAGAAAATGTGTCGATGGGTCCGGGCACGGTGATGTTCACCGGCCCATTGCTAAGATCCAACGGGGACTTGACTGCGGTATCCGCCGCGCCTTTCTCAAAGCCATCCAGGACCGCACCAATCTGCTTCAGGTGGCCGCTAAGAGGCATGTCACCATAGGTCAAAAACTTGGCGTTGCTAGGATGATAGTTCCGCTTGGAAAAGTCCACCAGTTGCTTATAGGTCAGATCGGTGATATACTGAGGGTCTCCACCGGAATTGTTGAGGGCCGGAATGATGCTCTCCTTGTACTTTATGTAATAGAGGTAGTTTGCGTCGGATATTTGACCCTTCATTTCGTTGTACACGACACCCTTAAACAGAACGTCTTCGGGTTTGCCCTCTGGACTTTGTGTTTGAGCTGCGCGAGGGTCCTCTGGTCCCAACCGCCACCCTTCCTGTCTGAAGTCTTCCTCCTTGAGAAGAGGGTGGAAGGTAGCATCCAGGTAGACTGAAAGGAGGTTCTGGAAATCCTGTTGATTTGTCGTAGCGAACGGGTAGGTCGTGTGGTCAGACGAGGTGAAAGCGTTCATGAAGTTCGAGAGTGATCGGGGCAGCATCTTGAAGAACGGGTCTCGGATGGGGAATCTGAGAGAAGAGCCATCAGCTATCGGTCTCGCCGTGACCAGGCCAGTCGCGCAAGGGAAACTCACTTTTCGCTGCCGCATAATGTCGTGTGCTCCAAGATATGAGGGACACCTGTCGCATCTGGAGGATTCGTCTTGAATCCCACGCCAAAAACATTGTTCTTGTCTTCCCTTGCGACGTGAAGATAGTCCGCGGCTGTCTTGTCGTGTGTTAACCGTATTGCCGTCAGGTGCAACTCTGGAACGTGCTTCTTTTCCTGCACTGTAAACCCATGGAGCTTCTCCCCCACTGCAGGATAACTGTCCAGGCTCGTTACGGTCGACGCGGCCCTATGCTGATGGTATCGGGATAGAACATTGGTCGGCGTTGATAATCGTCGGGGGGCGAGAGTGCTCGGTTGGCGCAAGAATGGCACTCGGCCTTTGCCTGATGCTAAAGAAGAGCGAAACATCATGTAACGATTGGATAGACGAGAGGTAAAGCGCCAGCTCGACGCTCGGGGAGATATAGTCGGTCCTCCCAGGTTTCAGAGAGGCTTTAGCGAGTCGGTACCGGAGAAATCGGGAGAGCCGCGGACCGGGATTGAGCGCAACACCGTACGCCACGAACTATGGAGATGGAGGACGACGTACGGATGGATAGAAGATGAGGGACGGGACAGAGATAGCCTTCAGATGAAGGAACAAAAAATATAGACGCGAAGGAGAGAAGAAGAGAGCAACAGGCGGTTGGAAAAAGCAGGTGACTGCGCACCCCGATGGGGAAATAATGCCAAGGGCCATTGCCCGATGGGGGATAGCGCAGGTCAAGTGCGCATTCCCCCCCCCTCTTACTACTACTTGACTAACTTACTCTTGTCGACCGACTGGATTCGATCCTCCCCCAGGTCCTCGAGTCGACAAAAGGTCTCAGTCTGGCCACTTTCTCCTCTGTTCCCACCCCCCGCAAATTCACTCGGGTTCCGTCCGGAAGATCCCTCTCGCTTGGACCTTTTTTTCCTTCCCATCCCCTGTGGCCTGTAGAACTGGGTTGCTGGGGATCGACCGGATCCATTGCCTCCGAATTCTCCAAGTCTAGGTAACGACAGACCGTCTCCGCCCGTCTCGAGCGTGAAATATCCGGGTCGAGTACTTTCTGTCGTACCAGCTAGCTTTTGATCCGGCGCATCGTGAAGTTTCGTCCTCCCTTGGTCGATTTGCGTCAGATCTGGTTCTCTACCACGTTTCTCCCACCGTCCCGGCTTCGCATTTTTCATTTCCGTGGGCGACCACGCGACCACGCCGGCAAACCCGCAACCCGACAACCGCTCCCTCGGCTTCCAGAGCAAACGTTTCATGATGTCGTCTGCCGCAATGTCGAAAAAGAACAAGGGGAAGAAGGTTGCGGATCCCAATGAGACGTCGAAGCTGCTCGCGGCCAAGATCTCCCAGTTGGAACAGGATGCGGCCGGAGAAAAAGATCAAGAGGCAGAAATCGGTGCGTCACCATATTCTCATTTTATCATGCCCTGTATCCAACTCCCTTCATGATGACATGGTTCTGTAAGACGGGTCACTGACCGCCAACCACCGCAGAACGTGAAGTCAAGAAAGCCACCCGAGATCTGAATCAGTTATTGAGCAACATCGAATCCCCTATGACCCGACTGGAAACCGTTCACAAGAAGTACACAGAACTTTTGGCCGATATGAAAAAGTTAGATCGCGACTACACCAAAAGCAAGAAGCGAGCAGATCAGCTGCAAAAGGACCAAGACAAGGGAAAATCAGAGTTAAACAAGACGGTCACCATGAAGGATAAACTCGAGAAGCTGTGCCGAGAGCTGACAAAGGAAAATAAAAAGGTCAAGGTGGGTTACTGAATTTGCGCCGTTCCCTGCCGCCAGCGCAGGCTAACGGATAGGTCCACAGGACGAGAACAAGAAGCTCGAAGAGACCGAGAAGAAAGCGCGCTTGATTGTCAATGAACGTCTCGACTCCCTTTTGTACGATATCCAAGACGTCATGGCGGCCAAGGGCAATCCGCGCAGCGAGAAGCTCGATATCGATCTGGACGAAGCGTAAGCTCCAACCCCGACTCACGGCCTTCTAATACTGAATTTCGACTGTATAGTCTACGCGCCAAGATCAAAACTATCGGCGAGAAGTTCGAAATGCGCGAACTGCATTATCGGTCTCTTCTACGCAGCAAAGACGCCGAGATACAGTGCCTGACGGCCAAGTATGAGGAACAGCGCCGCGCCGCTGAGAATGAGGCTACTCGTTGTCGTGCTCTTAGTTCGCAGGTGTCGACGTTCTCCCATACCGAAGCAGAACTTCGTAGTCAACTCAACATCTATGTGGAGAAGTTCAAGCAGGTATGCCGGACGTGGAATCCATCTGTTTTGGTTTTCTGGTAATAATAATATGACAGGTGGAGGACACTTTAAAACAACAGCAACGAGCTCTTCCTGACTTTTCGCAAAGAGATGGAAGAAATGTCAAAGAAGACGAAACGTCTAGAAAAGGAAAATCTCACCCTCACTCGCAAACACGACCAAACGAACCGAAACATCCTTGAAATGGCCGAGGAACGCACGCGAAACCACGAAGAACTCGAAAAGTGGCGCAAGAAGAGCCATCACCTCGAAGCGCTTTGCCGACGCATGCAAGCTCAAGGTCGGGGCCAAGGTCTTGCCGCTGAGCTCGACGGAGATGACGAAGGCACGGAGAGCGAATACGAGGAAGACTATGAGGATGAAGAAGATGACGAAGAAATCAGTGACGATGAATACGACCTCGACAGCACGGACCGTGAGATAAACGGAGATCGAAACGCGACACAGCAGCCTGAGAAGCCCGTCTTCGGACCACCGCCGCCCCCCAACCTTCTGGAGGCGCGAGCCAACGGAAACAAGGCCATGATAAATGGATGCCATTAGCAGATTTTGAAAACTGTTTTGTGTGCTTTTGCATGGGAGTCTCGTGGCTGTTTCCTCGTCGACTGAGGAAGCATCACCGTATGATCGAATACTGTCCCATTTCGTTGTTCGGCCATTGTCTTGATCGAATACATAAAAGACAAAAAAATATCATGGGCAAACCTGTACAGGCAATTCTGTTTAGTTGTGGTGCTGGGCGCGATGCGAGGGTGCATAACACTACGATGATCTCGTAGTTTGGAGACTTTCTTAGTAAAGCTAGTCGTCAATGCTCATCTCTTCCAGCTAGCTTTGAGGCGCATGTTTATAATGTTGGTCGTTGCTCATCGTGGTCTTCTTTTGGATTTTGTTCAATCTACTCCTGTACTTGTATATGCTAGATCAACTGACCATATCGAAAGGCATCTCTGGTATTTACTATGCTATCATCGCAGAACTATTCACATATCAAAAGAAGAGATTCGTTCGTCCAAGAAGAGTATACAGACCGTCTATAGCTTGCTCGATGGAGTAATCTTGATATAGGATGCATTCTGCTGCATCACCTCCACGGCCTGCTGGACCATTTCCCGCACGATGTCTCCAGCCGGCTTGATCTCCTTGATGATCGCAGACACATCACCCATGAGGAAAGGAATGTCGACATCCTTCTCGTTGTGGAAATCATGCTCGATTGGTACAATGCCCTTGGCGGTCAACTCGGCAATCTCCTGCGGACGCTTATGCCAGTCCTTGATGTAGTCATTCGGCAGCATGCGCAGCGGCCGTCCCGACACGACGAGGGTCCGGGTGGTCTCTCCGTACTGCGCACCGACAACCGCCTCCTTGTGCAGCCGGCTGGCGCCGCTCTCCACGGAGGCCACAAAGCGGGTGCCCACCCAGACGCCGACGGCGCCCAGCGCCAGCGACGCGGCCAAGCTGCGGCCGTCGTTCACACCGCCAGCGGCGACGACCATGGCGGGCTTCCCCGTGAGGGGGCTGGTGTACTTCTTCGCGACGTCGACGACGGCCGGCACCAGCACAGAGAAGGGGATATCGCCGGTGTGGCCGCCGCCCTCCCCACCCTGGGCGCAGACGATGTCGACGCCCAGCTTCAGCGCCTTCTCGGCGTGCTTGGGGGCGCCGACCATGTTCATGATGAGGATGCCGGCGTCGTGGAGACGCTTGATGACGTGCTCGGGGGGCACGCCGACGGCGGAGACGAACAGCTTGGCGCCGTGCGAGATGACCACGTCGATGAGCTGGTCCAGCTTGCCGTTGGTGTAGTCGTGGTTGGTTTTGCGGGCGTTTCCGCCGACCTGCGGGAGAGCCAGGTCGACGCCGAAGGGGAGCGAGGGATCGCGCAGGCCCGCTTTCAGCTCGGTCAGCATCTCGGACAGCTGTTCGGGCGAGTAGCCCAGCCCGCCGACGGTACCCAGACCACCGGCATTGGAGACGGCGGCGGCCAGCGGGGCGCTCGAGGCCTTTGCCATTCCTGCCAGCAGGACGGGGTGCTGGATGCCCAGCAGTTGGGTCAGGGGGGTCTGGATGGACATTGCGACGGAGGTGGACGAAGAATTGAAGCTATGGAGAAGAGGAAGAGCTTGTAGAATAGGTTGTGTCAGGATGGAGCTGCTGGCTGGTGGCCTCGTGAGGCAGCTTTCCTTAAGAATGGAAGTAAACGTGGGCGGAAGCGTTACCCGTCGGTATCAGAAGCGATGAGCCGCGGTTCAGGGAAGATCAGAGGGAAACACCAAGGACGAGGGACGATCTAGAGGCGCTAAGGTCGCCTTCATAGTGTCTGGCGGAGCGCATAAAGAGGCATAAACGGGGGGGAATAAGAGCGAAGCTGGGGAGACACTGCGGGGAAAAGAAAGCTGTCGTGGCCGCCCGGACCGAGGCACTTCCGGTCTATCCAGGTCACGTTTACGGAGTATATGTCCAGAGCTGTCTTACTATGATGATAAGTCCATTGTTGAATCTCTTTTCTTTCTGAAGCTCATGTTGAGTTGTAGGGTATTTGAAATGAACGTCCACTATCACGATAAAGTATTTGGAGTACATTCGGACGCTGTCAGGGGACATGATGCGGCCATCATCTCTGGTAAACCGATTCGACTCTTTCACCTACTCAATCCGATAATACTTAGGCAAGACTCCATAATTTATATACCGTTTGTGTCTCTAGACTACCTCACTATCGCTCTTCCCAAAGCGGTATTGTAATTACATCACGTGACAACACCTCCCGCGCAACGCCAAAACACGCGTGATTCGCGTTCCATCCAGACTTCCACTCCAACTCCAATTCTTCTCTCTTTTGCCCTCCCCCATTCCTCTTCGAACTAGTGTCGCTCAACAGAGATCTTTACTTTGAGCACATCCACGCGAAACAGCGATACCGCCACATTATGGCTATCAATCCGACAGAAAGCGAATTCTTGCGTCCTCCAAGGTCAGAAGTAGCTCCGAGATGCCTTCTCCAATTCAGCAGTCGCCTCACATGTAGCGAAAGATCTACGATCGGCTAATACAACTATAATGCACAGCGACCAAGAATATCCCCCGGTCTACCGCCAACCCTCTCACTATAACCCTCTCGATACCTTCAAACTGCCCTCCGGCCAGGAGCGCCACTATCAGCAACAATATGGCGATATGTATTTCTTGCGACTGGCGAAGCTGAAACCCGCGGTGGAAAAAGTGGCAGTGGATGCGTGGGAAGGCTTCAGTGTAATACCTCTCCCAACGACCCGGCCGATTCCGCATGCTTTGTGCTGTGAGACTGACGACCGTTCTTGCGGTTAGATCGCCGGTGAACGAGCACGTCGTGTAGACCGCGTGCTCGATGTCAGGCAAGGTGAACTCTGTTGGGTGGCGGGGACAATCTACATGGACATGCCGCTGAAGCCAAATATTCTGGACGACCTGACCAAGGAAGTACGTCTAGTGTAATTGCCTTACACCAATTATCCTGCTAACACGCCTAGAACTTCACATTAGCCCCCCCGCCCCGTCGTACCTATCTCGATCCCGCCCACCCTGAGTTGACACAGATCATGTTGGAAGATGAATCCGGCCGCCTACGCCTAACGGGGAGTATGTTACAGTCCACGCAACTAGCGACGGGTGCAATCATTGCGGTCCTAGGGACTGAGAACGCCAATGGTGATTTTGAAGCCATCGATATCAAAGTTCCGGATCTGGCTCCGCAGCCGCAGCGGTGGGAACGCGATACAACACAGGCGTCGCAAAAGACTCCAGCAAAAGGCAAGATCGCGTTCGTGAGCGGACTCGGGATCACGGGAAACTCCGGTGACACGATTGCGCTCGATCTCTTGACGGATTACCTGCTTGGCTATATGGATTCCCCAAGTATTGGCGACAACGATCGTACAACTTCCGATGCCTCCAAGATCACCCGGCTTGTCATCGCGGGAAACTCCATTGGAACGAGCATGACCGTCGATGCAAACGACAACGGGAGCGGCCCAAAGAAGAAGAATGCTCCCAAGAAGTACGGTTACGACGCCTCTGCATACAATGCCTCCCCAATCACACAGCTAGACTCCTTCCTCGCTGAAATCCTTCCGAGTATACCTGTTACCCTCATGCCGGGTGCGAGCGATCCGGCAAACTTTTCGCTCCCTCAACAGGGCATTCATCGGGCCATGTTTCCCCAAGCTAGGGCCTACTGCGCTCCACCTCCGACTGCAGGACAGGCACCAGAGCCGGGCTGGTTCGATAGTGTGACCAATCCATGGGAGGGTGATGTCGAAGGATGGCGGCTGTGGGGGAGCAGTGGTCAGAATGTGGACGATGTGCTGCGTTATCTGGACTTTGCCGATGAATACGGAACGGGTGAGTCCGCCAACGGGGACGCTGAGGCCCGCATGAAAATCATGGAGGCCATGCTGCGATGGAGATGCGCTGTACCCACCGCACCCGATACCATCTGTACGTCAAGCCCGCGAATTCATTTAACACGTCAACTGCTAATACCTTCTAGGGTCATACCCATTCCAAACAGATGACCCGTTCGTCATGCAATCATGCCCGCACATCTTCTTCGCGGGGAATCAACCCCAGTTCAAGACTGCAGTGATAGAAGGCGATTCGCCGCTGAGACTGAACGGAGGCGACACGGAAATGACGGATGCCGACGAGGACAACTCTGGGCCCCGTGTACGACTCTTATCGATCCCATCCTTCTCGAAAACTGGCGAACTGGTGCTGGTAGACGCCGAGACCTTGGAGGTAGAGGTGGTCAAATTCGGGACATTTGCCGGTAAAGAGGATAAGCAGTAATGATGAAGACGCATATGCGGTGTATAGGTCTAGGCATTAACGCAAGAGTCGGTTTCGAGTACTTATAGTCATGACTCTGTCTGGGGACGCAAAGAAACCGTATAAAGAGTAAGTGTTGGTAACAGTAGAAAGACT